AACTTCGTAAAGACCCAATTAAAATGCAAAACAGGGATTCTAGGTAGAATATTTAACGAATTTTCGAGCTCTCAGCCTAAAAAGGCTTGGAAAATCATTAGCCCGCTGAAGAATGAGCACGCTTTACGTGGCGTTATTGATGATTATAGTAATCCGTTGTCTGACCTGGAGAGTCCAATTTTTTATTTCTTTTTTTTTGTGAGCATTGTAACGAAGATGTTATTACTCTGCCTGTATGTAATATAAATTATGCCAGAGCGGTGCCTTTGTTGTTAAAATAAGCATCGAGTCCCACGGGATTAACCAGCATACACTCAACGTCTCAAATGATCCTATTTCGCAAAGTGGTGGTATTACGTCGACACTACTAAAGCTCACTTGCCACCTTCCAGTGCTCTGCTGCCACTATTATTCTTACAAAGTACAGGCCAGGAATTACCACCTTAATACAGGACATACAAAGGTTATTCCTATTTCGAAGTCTGAAGACAATTTCCCTAATAATTATCGCCTCTTGTCCTTAACCAGCATACCACGTAAGCTCCATGAACATGTTATCTCCAGTCACGTCGTTAGTTACCTCTCAGGTATAAATATTTCTTCCCTAACCTGCACGGACTCCGTAAATAAAGATCAGGCGAGGATCCGTTTTTTTTTATTTCTTAGGGATGTGCACGAGAGAATCCGTTGTCGGACACAGACTGCTGCTATTTTTGTTGACCTTTCAAAGGTGTTTGACCGAGTCCCTCACCAGCGTTTAATAAAACAAAAACTTAAGAAGCTCTTAACGTCCAGCAACCAATTCTTTTATTGATCAAGGCACTTCTTTTCGACAGAACCCAATCAATCTCAGTTCGTAATGACTCGTCTTATAAAATTCTAGTCAAATCAAGAGTTCCACAGGGATCTGTCATCGGCCCGCTTCTTTTATTTATCTATGCGTGTAAATGATCTCCCTAATTTAATCCGCTCCAAAAGCGGACTTTTCACAGATGACGGCGTAATTTTTAGGCGAAGAGTTACCAACGACGATCGCTTTACCCTGCAGCGCGACCTCAATTCTTTGGCATCATGGTACGAGAATTAGCAAATCGGCATCAGCACTGCGAAGACTAAACTTCGGATGTTTTCCACACTGAAAGCGATAATTACTTTTTATTACAAACAAAATGGATTGATCCAGAAAAAGTAGGTGATCATGAATATCTAGGTGAAATAATTACAAAAATTTAGATTGGAAACACTATAATGATTAAATCACTGGAAAAGCATATTGTACACTGGATTATTTCAGAACGAAAATTATATTCAGCACATTTTGATGTTCGCTTGTTAGCTTACACGTCCTTCATTCGTTCGTCGGTTGAATGCGCTGGCCTAATATAGGGTCACAGGAAAGATTACTTCACTAAAAAAGTTGAATATATCTAATACCAAGCCGCTAGATTTTTTAATTAATTGTTTTGCGTATAGTGTCACAGTTAAACTTTTAAAGCTAACCTCGCAGTTTTATGCGTCAGACGCAAAGTTTCGCGGCAGACCCTTCTGAACCGAATATACAACAATAATTCGCATCTTAAATGTCGACTTTTATTTCCTCCCTCCCACGTCAACAAAACTTTTCCTAGGTTCGATCTCCAGCACAGAATCCCGACGCCCTAATATCGCACCAAAGCAGTCTTCCGAGACTCTGCTAATCTGTTGATTAGGAAATGTAATTACCTGCCCGAGAATTTGGTAACGATATCTGAATATTGTAAATATGAGAGTACTTGCGAAGAATTATTTCAGGTATTTTAACCTTATGTACTACATTAGACCGTACGTATTGCTTTGTTCGTTTCTTTTTAGCATGCAATTTCGTAAGACCTTTTTAAATAGTGTGTCTGTTGCATTCAAATTATTTATTTATATGTTTCCCCCTGTGATGCCTTTTGGGTGCGTTGTGGTCATTAAATAAAATAAAATAAAATAAAATTAAACCAATTACTTTGACATAGAAAGGTCGAAGACACGCGCAATACGCCCATCGCCAAATTACCCAGTCACCAAGCAAAACTCTTGGAATGTAGACACAGGTACTTTACCAGTGCGCCTTTACTGAATGAACGGTTTATTTCGTCAGATTTACTCAGGCAGGTTTACTTTTCCAGACGGCAGCAGGCGTAGCTACTCTTAAAATCTTCTCTTTGATGCTTTGACAATTTACTAAACTGTCTATAGACGCTTTGCAGCAGCTCTGGAAGGGCGCCGCCATAACGGATCTTTGGTTGTTTTTCCTCTTATTTTGATGTCTTCGCTCTATCGTTACCAGAGGAGGATAGGGTATTGCCATTTTAGATTCGACAGTGTTTTCCCCTGCATTGTTTTTTGTGGAGGCTCGTCAAAGCCCGCTTCAGTGACTTGGTATCTCGGGAAGACAAGAGACGGTCAGCAATGGAGGCTGTAATCTGGCGCTTTTGCAAAGCGTCTGTAGACCATTCCGGAAAGCCGCTACTGGTTGGTGCCATTGCCAGCGTTTGTGCCTGTGGCGCGCGATTTGCTGACCTTCCGCGGTGAAGAACAGGCACGTGCTGGGTTGTGAGCTGACACGTGGGATTTCGCTTTTTTGAAAGCATTGAAATTGTATACACAGTAAAATTAACTGCACTCATACCCACCAGACGGCGTCCAAATGTACTAAAAATTGTTATACAATAAAACTAAAACAACTCCGTCACCGCCAAGTCAGGCATATATGAAAGTGCAATGAAAATATATAAAATACAGAAATAAAATATCGTACCTTCGAAAGAATGATATTTTTGTTGAAGATTCATTAATGCCGAAAGTGAACGATTAAATCGTGAATTTGTTAACTATCAATATAAAGCACGAAAAAGTGTCCTAAAGATGAAGTGGGACCATTTTTTTTTGGCAGAGTAATATCCTGCGCGTTCAATTCCTGATCTACTAGCGCTGATAGGAGGGAAGGGGGGGGGGGGGTACCGTTAAAATATATATATGCATATAGGCTTTTTCCATTTCAATAATTTTGGTTCTACACATCCTCAATCAAGGTAAATTTACACGTTCCTCTTAATGACGCCAGTACTTAATATGGCATTAGTATATGCTTACGCATCTTTAATATGTCTCTGTCATAGAATAAAAGAAAGACGTTTTCGCAACCTTCTCTGCGAGGGAATATTGTACGCCTTCCATTTGATAGATAAACCTTTCACAAGCATGCGTATATTTCAGCTCAGCGCCAGTTGCATAACACTTAGTAATGTCTGGCACAAACAGCAGTGTACAGAAATACATTTCTGACAGATACCTATCATTTGGTTTAGACGATTCAATTCTCGACTTCAACAGGCATCATTTTTACGTTATCGGAATGCCGACAGTAGACGGAACTATCTTTTGCGTTTATCGCCGCCTAGGGTGATACTGAGGCCATTCTTCTAAAGTGTTAATAAAATCTGATGTCTACTGAAGCCAATGAGAAACACGATATGACTGTGCGAGTCGACTACTACTATAAAAATTATTGTCTTGAGATTTCATTAGCTCACCGCTTTTAATATGGGTTTTCGTGGTACCTAACGGCATTTATTATGTGATTATCACCATTGAAAAAATTACACCTACCGACGGGTGCTCATTTCCCAGCTTGCAGCTGCAATATATTCCGAGGACTGGCGATAATGCTTCATGTGACATTGGTTCTCTCGGCGCATGGCTTGCGCAAAACCAAGGTGACGTGGTTTCCACCCACTTTCTTCTCAAAGCACGTTTCCGCCACCCCCCCCCCCCCTCCCCTCAAAGGTAAGAGTGAAACAAAAAAAAATTGAGGGGGGGGGGGGCATTCGTTTTGCCATTTGTTAGGGGGCATCGATCGCTGCCTATTGCAGTCAAGGTTCGGCCTTGGGGCTGCGAAAACAGAATCTCGAGCGCTGGCGACAGAGAAAGCCAGAAAGCGGCTTCCCGACCCCTGTACGTCACCGGCGTCCGCCCTACCGCCGGTGACGTACAGAGATAGGAAAGAGTAGGAATGTATTAGACTTGTCAGTAGAAAGTCTCTGTACAGAGCGATTGCCACTGAAGCTACTTGCAAAGTAAATAACTGCACTGAACTATTTCTTTATATAAAATATTTATTGAACAGGGTTAGAAAAGGGCTATTGATACGGTCTGCTAATTTCCTGTCAAATCGGGGGCTGTAAAAAATCGGCGGAGTTGCCTTCTAGGGATTGATCAGCGCACCTGGTTTACCAAAGTGAATATTTTCAATTTAGGTTTTATTCGCGCGACCCGAAGCTCATCCACTTTGCTCGCAGGCGCTATGCAAAAAACTGCAAAAGAAAAGGTAAATAATGTGCATACTTTTTTTCTTTTACCTCTTTGGGCCGATTCCTGACGCACACCGACTGACCCAACAAGGTCTGAGACCGGACGTATTGAACAGTGGTTTCTGCGCGATAAAATGCTACAGCGCCGCTTTCATGATCGCGTCTTTGGAGCTTCACAGGCGGTAGTGAGTGTGATCTACCAGACCAAGTGTAGCACTGCCGCGCTTCTGCTCGCACGATTCAGTGGTGGCGTCAGACGACAAAGTAGATACAGCGGACGTGGCGACAGGAAGATATTGGGCTTGCGAACTCGTTTGAACGAGCAGCAAAGCGAATCCAGTAGTAAGTGCAGGTCACCGTTCTGGAGGAAGTCGTGACCGCCAATTAAATTGCGTAACTCAACGTGAATATTTCGGGAAAAACACTCTTTGCTGAAACTTTTTTTGTTATAAAATAAGTGTCTCATGTAAGCACATTTATAAAGTCTTCTTTTATTTAAATGTTCTTTTAAAACGACGGTAGGTATAGTATCTCTCCGATAACAGGTATTCTTTGCAACCGATAACACCCCTGCCCACTGGGGCACAGACCACATCTGATGAAGAGCTACAGTTAAAATGTAATATGTTAAAGCTGATATTTACTGGATAAAAAATAACTTACCAGTGCAATGGTGAGTGCCAAATAATTTACTAAATCTACCCTTCGTCGAAACACTTTGTAATGTTTCTCATCCACCATCATGTGAACTTCAACCAAAAATGGATCGGGTACGTGCTTCAAACATGCGGAACCTGAAATCAAAATGTTCTTGTGTATGATCGAGAAAAATATTCACCAGTTGTATTTCTCTACATACAAAAGAATCCAAAAACACAAATGTTGAGGTTGATCGTCATCGTGAAATCGTTTTACATTGATCATTTATTGCGCTTTATGAGACGTAATAAATACATATTCAAAGGAAAAAAAACTCGATGCATTTGTTTATGAAGAACTTTTGTTCACGTTCATTTCAATAAAATAATCAGGGCTGAATAGAAAAACATAAACTACTATTATTTATGATGACGCTGGTTACCGCATCAGCCCTTAAATATATATATTTTTTTTTTGTATTTGAAAGTGGTGCCAAAGGTCGTTGGCGAGATGATGTTTTTGTAATTATGCTTGATACGACTGCTTCTGGCAATCATTTTGGTCACAATCGCTCGAGATAGCGGACGAGGGGGTCGAGGCACCCGCCGAGAAAGGAAACGACCCGCAGCTTCGTGATCATGAAGGATAACTGACCATGAGCGGTTGTGCTCGTCAACGTTTCGACGGATGGGCGGATGCTAACGGCTGTACCTTTCATATGAGGCGGTAGCTTGCGCCACCTAGCCTGGAAGGCAAGAACCAAAAGGATGCTTTCTTTCCTTTACCAATTTGTTTATCCTCTGAAATTTTGAAACTACCACCAGGCGGCGTGGCATATCACCCAGATGGCCTTCGGGGGATCGGGCAAACAAAAACTAAAAACTTTACCTCCCCCCTCCCCCCCCCCTCCCCGCCGAGGGAGTCGCGAATGATCCTATGGTCAAACCTTGTCGGCGTTACCCCGGCACTGGACCCACTGAGAGACAGGGTGGAAACTTGCGGCCGGAGCCACGCGGAAGGGAGTCCAAATTTTTCTTCGTTTCGCCTGTCCCCAGTTGTGCCAGCTAGTTGTAGGGCATTCAATTCCCCCTAGGTAATTTCCACCAGTCTTCCAATCTCCTCTATGTTATTAAACTCCACTCATCATCTATTCTTTCATTCTCGTCCGCAAACCATAGCGCTCCGGCCAAATCCATCTGCCCTCTCCAGGAGGGCGAGAGCTAGCCCTGTGCACCTAAAAACCACATGCTCTATCGTCTCGTCTTTCCCTTGACATACGGCACGTTGCGTATAGATTTCCTCATACTTTTTCTTAAGTGTTCCAGTCCTCAATACTCCTGTTTTAGCCTCTCGAGTAGTAAAGAACTGCCCCGTGAATTATCGTACTAATGTTTCCTTCCATATTTTCTGTTTTCGTCTCCTGTATGTCATTTAAGCCTGATATGTCCTGTAATATTCCCTCCCATGTTTTTCTGTCGGCTTCTTTTACTTCCTTTTTTACAGATGTAGTATGTTTGGCACCCGTACTTGACTGTTGCTTTTTTAATTTTAGTTTTCGGGTTAGATTTCTCCATTTACTACTCCAACTTTTCCTGTCCAGATGCTTATATGCTTTCTCGACCATTGTGTATCCTCAATTGTGTCCGGTGTTTGTTAAAACTTCAACTTAACTGCTCTCGTCTCTTTCGTCGGAAAATGCACAGTTTATGTGTTCCCGCACGCCTTTATTTCCTGTATTCCTATGCACCCCAGTGCCAGTCTAAGCTCGACTGGAACTCTTATTTCATGCGTATTACCGCAATGCCAAAAGACAACCCCTGCAAAGTGACTGTTTTATATCTTCCCCTAACAACTTCCTATCTATTGTAATTGTATGCTGCCCTATGCTTCATAATTGCTGCATTCCTTTCTCTCTTCTTTAGCGCATTTTCTTCTGGTTCTCAGATTTGTTTTTCCTTATTCAACCCTACTCCTAGGTATGTATACTTCTCGACGTGCTCCATTAAAACGTTTTGAATTTTCAGCGGGTTCTTTTTTTATTGTTATAAACCCATATTGTGGACTTGTCGCTACTGAATTTCAAGCCCAGAGAGTCTCCTTCCTCTCCACATACCTTATTCAGGTCCTGTAACCTATCCCGGCTATCTGCTAACAGTACAAATGTCGTGTGCGTAGAACATTATTGGAATAACTTGGCTTACTTTTCCTCCTCTCCCGATATATGATGTATCAAAACCTAATTTGCATTGTTCTCAATTTTTTTCATTCTACTAAGGTAGACCATAAAAAGTAGAGGTGATAGGGAGAGCCCGACCTGAGACCTATTTCATTTCTGCCGGTTCTGTAATTTCTGCTTCCCACGTTATAACAGCCTTATTATTTGACTATACTTGTTGTAAACGCCTAATCAGGTGTGCATCTTAATCATAATCTCCCATCTGCACTCAGAGTTTTTCCTGATCTACATTTTTATATGCCACTTTAATATCTAGAAACGCTATTCATTACGTGTTCTTTTTTTCTCCTCCGTGCCACCTCTATATATTGAGTGATGATCAATATGTTATAACCAAATCATCTATCTTTTCTAAACCCTTTTTCCAGCTCGCCTAAAATGTTCTTGGCCCATTTTTTTATTCTTATTTTTACTACCTGCATTGCTGCTTCTGAGACCGAAATTATTTTTATTGGGTGGCATAATGGCTATGCTATAATTATTTTCCTATGCCATTATATAACAACCCCATGCTGCTCAGTCTCAATCATAGGGTACCACTCTCCATTATTATCTGATCAGTTGCCTGTCTTAACTTTAATTTGCTTTTCTTCCTCCTGCCGTGACTAGTTTCCTTCCTATGCCATCTGAACCTGTCGCCATTCGAGCAGGTACTTTAATTTCTGCTCTGTCCCATTGCCTCGCAGTCGCCTCAGTTGTCTCCCTATTGTTCTCGTATTGTGCCATGTTGCTGTTTGCGATCTGTCCAATATCTTCTGGTTGAAGTCCTGCGAATGTTGCCTCGCAGAGCCTGGCGCGCCATCGAATGTTGGGCCGGGGACCCACATGATTGTTACGACCCCCCCCCCCCCCCCCCCGTTTGTTTTTCGCAAGCAAAAGAAAAGTACTCAATGCCCAATGCTCACGGGCCGACTAAAACTTTGCGGCTGGTTGAGCCTCCGCCAAAGTCCCAAACGCGTCAACAGCGACTGTTATCCAGGCGAGTATAATGGTCCGATAACCTCCGCCGTTGAGTATTCCGCCTGGGCGCAGGTGTTCCTGGGCGCAGGTGTTCCATAATTTCTGCGTCTTCATTATCACTGACAGAGAGGTCAAATTTTTATCGCGAGAGAGGACTAAATTACTGATATCGTCACGACACTTATGCGTTGAAAACTTCTAAATTAGCAGTAAATTCCCCTTTCATTACCAATGTTCTCCTTTCACCCTTGAAGTTTATGAAACCTTTATTGAGCAGTTTCATAATTTTGGGTTTTTATGTTATTTCTAAATAGAAGAAGTTCTGTTCCCGTCCCCGTTCTTAGTGTTTTATTCCTTCGTGTTTTCTTGTTAATTATATATGTTCCTCAGTTTTAAAGCAAAACAAGACAAAAACTCTTGGGTTTGAACCTTCCGCTTCATTGAAACACTAGTGCTGGTTGTGGTGTAAATCAGCGAATATAATTCTGGTAAACGAGCTTCTTTTTATTCACGTAGCTAGCCAAGCAAGCTCAATGATGGTGACTTCGCTCCTGTACCAGAGCCACCGTGCCCCCAAAACCAGCATTCAGCCGCTTAATTTCTCTATCTTAGTTGCTCCCCAGGAAAGCAATCGCCGAGGAGGGCTATACGTGGAAAACAATTTCGGAGGCCACGCCCCAACAAGCCTGAAGTTGAGTCCAACATCGTCATAATCTTATTGGATAAAAATAATCTTTCTTTGAGTAGCTTGAGTTAAAATTAATTGATCACAGTGACCTCCAATCGACGCTGGAATTCGGTGTATATCCAATATCTCTCAAGCTGCAAAGAGCTAGGCTTCAGATCTTAAGAATTGAAAGCAAGCTTTGTTTTTCTTCTTGTGACATTAAGTCGTTTTTTTATGTTTATCTAGGATTGCATAGAGAGTTTTTGAATCAACCGACGATTGAGCTGATTTAATGATGATAAATAGACGCGTCGTTCCGCTCCATACTAAATGTATTCCCACCTTTTTTGTATAAAATCAATTTCAATAATACACAGAGCAAATAGTCTTTAAAACATGCTAACAAACAAGACTGGCATAGCTGAGGTTATTAAAAAACTTGGCCAGTTTGGCGGATATAACAAAAAAAAAACATGACCAAATATGAGAGTTTTGGTGGCCAACTACAATAAGCGTTGGCACCTGGTTGAGTTCTGCAGGTAACGGCATAATTCTACAAGATAGAATGTCAATTTTGATGGCTTTGCTGAAACGTGCATTAAAAGGGCTCTGACAACACCAAGTTGGTTTTTCTTTCAACCTCAAACACTTAAAAAATGTAATTTATAACAAAGTAAAAAATGGCAGTTCGGAAAAAAAGCTTCTAGCGCTCCAACGTGCTTCTTAAAAAAGGCACCCTCCTTTCCTACGAGACACGTCTTGTCGATCATTTTTTTTTTGTGATCACCAGCCGCGAAGTCCTTAATAGTGGAATGTGGAGAAATCTTGAAGTAGCGAAAATTTTATTTTTATAGCATTCAATAATTAAACGCATGAAATATTTTTGTACAAACGTAGCTTGCGCACTACGACGCTGGTTTTGAAATGACAAAATGAAATTCCGGAAGGGCCTTCGTCGACACGTCAACGCTTCGACGTCGTCTCATTGCCAACTTTGCTCTGGTTTCCCAAAATGGTGACGCAAGTTGGTTGCGCCGCAAGCGAGGGCGATGTTGGTGGCAGATGGTAAGATCACGTGACTTTTTCAGTACAAGAGGGACTTTCCGACTTCGGGAAGAAATTGGTTGAACGTTCGCGAAGTTTTTGTTTGGTACAGTGCGAATCGCGTGATCGAGAGCAGAAATATTCCAATGAGGACTTCACCTAATCGTCGTTACGTTCGCCTGCATTATATTCCTGGCGCCTCAACAACACAGACTGGTAAAATCGCGTTGCGTGCATTGATCAGTTAGAAGACAACGCCCGTAACTTTTGTATTTAATATGTCCTTTCCTGCGTGCAGCGGTGCCGATATCTGTGTTGAGCAGCTTCCCACCGTACAAGGGCATATGCTCCAGATAGTTTGGGCGGAAGCTGATTCGCATGCAGCGTCAGGTTTTCAGAACTGTGCACAACTTACTTTTAATTTAACTTGTTTTAATATTGAACATTTCGCTTCACGTGATGCCTCTTGGATTTGAAATTTCGTCGGAACGACTCCATGGCTCAACCGAGCAAGGTTTTGAAATCCCAACGCCCTTGCAACGTTCGGATTTCTCTCCTAATCATAATCAATGAGGTGGCGACAGCAGACGACAGTACGAGCCTGAATCCTGGAGTTGTCCGTCAGGAATCACCTCATGCCACGCTTTCTGCTCTATTTTATTCTTCGAAAGCGTGTGTAGACGGGCAGTTTGGAATGTGCTACTGCGGGGACATTTCTTGAAGCAGCACCGACAAAACAGTGCCAGTGACGTCGCTAATCAAAGTTCGCTTCAATTCAGCTACAACTGGGCCGCTTTTGAAAGTGTTTTGGAACGCGTAAGCACAACAGGAGATCAAAATTATATCGAAATTCACAACTGAAGCGTCCTCTGCTTAACACAAATGGGCGTCGCGAGGCGCGGAGCGATATTCGAGAGCAAGCGCGTGATGAACGAGGGGAAAGAGGGACAGACGACCGACACTTCCTTAATTCGGAGGGCAGCAGAAAACAAAAAACGAAAGGTACACAAAACCTGTCTTGACTTCGCTGCGGAGCATAAAAACTTCACATTCGTCTTTAAAAAAACAAAAAACAAAAAAAAACGAATACGCCGTTTTCACGTTTCAGCTCTTGAGGGTGATGTTTACATATCACGTCCAATCGGATGGTATATTAAAATAATATCGGTTCTTTCAGAATAACATAACCTGAATTCTCTATATTTTGCTCAAACCCTCGTTTAAGAGAGCAAAGAACACAACTGTTTTTGAATGGCAAGAGGTGTCTTGTATTCATTAAAATCGCGATGCAGCCACTTAATCCTTTCATTAGCAGTGATAGAATTTATTTCATGAACCTTGGAATATCGCAATTCAATCGAGATAGAAAAGTAAACTACTGCTCACATGTTCGCGTCTTGGTGCGAGCTCGCTGTTGAGGTAGTGTATCTGGAAGAGCTAAAAAGATTAAATAACAAGGTATCACAATAAAATCGAGACATTTTCACTAAACTATTTTTGTCAAAGCGGTCACTGTCACTGAAAAAATATCGATCAAACTCCTTTAAATTCTGCCTGTAACATTCCATATTACAGACAAATCGATAACTAAAAATATTTATTTATAGAAAAAGATTTTTACAGTAAACTCACGAAGGAAATTTTAGGCACATGTTACAACTCGCTGATCCATTATTAAACATGTTTGTGCATTCATGTCACTTTGTTGGTGTAAACTGCATTCCACTCACTCATCATACGTAACTTCACTACACTGCTTAAAGGTCGGTTTACACATAAACATGAGCGGGAATTCAGAGCTAGCCCGCATACTAAGTATACTATTAATAGGTAAGAAATATTTAAACAAACGAAAGCGTTACAATTTATTTAGAACATTTATGGCAGGAGTACTCATACTTCAGAACTTTATGCCATGAACGGTAAATCTTTCTTCGAGAAACTTAAAAAAACTAATCAACTGAAGTTTCTTTTTAATTTGATAAATGAAAACTACATTTGTTACATCATAACTGCTTTAATTTTAATACACACAGAGCGACAAGAAACAAACTTTATAAAACATTTGGTGAAATAATGTGCAGAATAGATGTTCAGAACTATTAGTTTTTGTACACGTATATTTCACGAATGGAACACGCTCCCCGGATGAAATATTTCTTCAGATTGTGTGTTGCTATTTTCTATCTATTGAATCTGTTGCCAGAATTTTATTTTTCATGCTTATTCGATATATGATGTACTTGCTCCTGTTTTTTCGTTTGTAATGTGATGCTTTTTTGTATACTACGTAATATTGACATGTTTTCTCAGTCTTGGTCCAGAGTTTTGCATATTTTAAGAGTGTGGTGTTGTGCACTAAATGTGGGTACAGTGGTACAGTGGTAATTTGTGATTAAAATAAAGACACCGACTTCTCATAACCGAACAAACAACTTCAATAGAAGTTTCGCTTCCCATACCCGAGAGGCGTCATCAGTACATGCAGAGAAACGAGAAAGTATTAGTCAACACAGCCCTCTTTATAAGGAATGTCCAGATCATGCTTCCGGGACTGGGCCACAGTTCCTGTTGCACTTTGACGCATCAGCTCAGATACCCCATTACTCAAGGAGCCTGCGTAGAGCCTTGCACACATTTTTTTGTTTTTATTCGTTTTCTGTTACGATCTTACAACTGTGTTTTCCCTACCTTGACTGCCCCTTGGCGGATGGTTGTACGTATAAATAAAAACTGGCAGCAACCTTTACTTTAGAAAGTTCTAAATTGCATGAAATGCAGTATTTAGCAGTGCTTGTTTCAATTATGTCGAAAACATTTAATAGTCGCTCTGGGAGTAAGACTCCGTGTTCTTATGAATTTTCCTGGAAACTGGTTGGTGTGTAATGCGACTAGAGAGGAAAGTGGGGAGGGAACTGAAGGGAGGGGGAGAAAGAGTACTGTAATCCATATTAAAAATTCCATCAAGATACGTAACTTGGGACACTGACTGCCTATCAGCAGCCTTGGTGGGACGTGATGGACCATCAGACGTCATCTCATGGTCCCTCAGATGACGTCTGACTGCCACTGCCAAGGGAATTTCATCAACAAGGGCAGCATTTATATAAGAGTAAAGCTAAACGCACTCATAAATATCGCCAAATACTTCGATAAAACAAAATGTTCGAGTCAAAAAGAAAAAAAAAAGCCGGACCACCGCGGATCGAACCCGCGACTACTTGCGCACAAATCGGACACCTTAACCCCTGTGCTATGCCATCGCTTTGAATGCTCGATTTGAGCATTCGTTTTATACGAGATGCTTCGGCTGCAAATGCAGTTAGGCCTTCAGCATGTTATGCAAAGCACTCGTACATCACTCGCCGTAGTTCAGTTCGACTCACCTGCCATGTAGAGTACTTTCGCGTCGTAGAACGATCCGTTTGCTCGCGCGTCTCCGGCCCAGTAGACCTGGTACACCTTGTCATCTTCAACTACACCGCTAAAGTCCCTTACATCGTCGGAACTCACAAAAGACTGGGTCTTGTCGAGTAGAAATTCTACTAAAACATAAGACATTGTAAAGCCCGGGCAGGATCGACAGGTTGGAGCAAGCGGGCAAGCAAAACGAGTCGAGAGCGATTGTTCTTGAAAGCTCGCCGAAGCCTCTGTGGGCGAAGCGAAGTGGCGTTTTCGGCGTTTCGGCGGGCTTCTGATCAAGGTGTCGGTCGGCTTCGTGTCATACTTGTGTCATATCTCTAACATCAGCGGTTTTATGGGCTCACGTCCCGAAATCGTTTTCTTGTGCATAGATTATTTTTCGTATTCATAGATTTGAGGAAATAGTCGTATCCGAACGAACTTTACGTCCTTTGACCGTACGTCTATCTGCATGTCAAAGCTTTTTGACGTACAGTCAGACACAATCGATGTACAATCAGATTCGCCACCAAGACATCTTGATGGCATTGCGCGGCGGCCGACTGCCACCAGGAAACCATCAGAAAGTCGACAAGTGGAGTCTGACTGGAGTTTGACTGTTGGTCAGAGTAACTTGTTGGCCAATCAGACATGCTTGACGTACAGTCAGGCACAGTGAGCGGTCCACTAGAAAACATTGACCGCCAAACAGGGTTACATTGATGGATTTTTCCTTCGAGATGAGGGGAAGGGATGGGAGGAGGAAGAAGGAGGAAAAAAAAACAGATGGGGAAGGGAAAAGTGACATTCTAGGAGGGTGAAGCAATGGAACGAGAAAGGTAGGGGAGGGAAGAAAAAAAAGTGATGGGGGATTAAGAATTCAAATAAATTTTCCACCTAAATTCAAAGGAGAAACTGAATCGATGTCACACATGACCAGGGAAGGAGTGGGGGGAGGGGGGTAAAGGAAGGAAGCAAAGTGAAGGGATGCAGATGCTGAGGACACTAAGAAAAATGGGTAGAAAAGGAGGTGGAAGGGAGGAGAGAGGCTCAAAAGAAAATTGGCCTCTCCCATGATGTATATTATCTCGCTGAATATAGCGAAGAACTGAATTCATAGTTAGGTCACGTGACGCCAGTTTCCCCGCTAACACTAGATTGGAAATTAAATTTGTGTTTAGGTGACAAGGAGCAAACTTGTCAGTAAATTTAGCTGGAAATCTAAAATGTCGTAGAGCTCACGTGACATAAAGTTGTAACGTGCGGTCACGTGACGGAAATATTCCCACTAAATTTAGCGGAGGAATCACAGACGAAAAGACGGACGTACGGACAAATGTTTGCGAATTGAGGGTTCCATTAAAAATTAAGTTATACTTAACAAACAAAATAAATAATGCGTAAGTCAGAGCCGTGTCCATAGTGTCCACAGTACTACTCTAGCGCCCTGCTGTATATTTAAACAGGTCTTACTAAAGGATACTGTCTAAAGCAGATTAAATAACTGCATGATGCCAAATTGTGTAAAATACAACTGCATGATACTGCAAGACACAAAGCCCATAATACAAATTTATGAACATATGCTTCATGAATACGAAGTAGGTTGCCAGTTAGACAAATCAAGCTTCAATTGTAAAACTAGACTTACTGTATTAGTCACTAGCCTAGGCTCGTCAATAAAGGACATATACAAATTGTAATGTTACATTGAATTAAATGTAAAACTCGAATCAAATCTTTGATCTGAACACGGCGTGAAGTCTGTAGCGGCTTGCGTCCTAGTTTCTCGCCATTGGTTTCTTTCCCGTCGACCTTTTGAATTTGTCTCATCTAAGTACATAGCTCTGTTTTCTGGGGAGTGTATTGTCATGATTCTAAGAAATGACATAAAATGAAGTTGGTGGGGCAAGAAGGAAGAAGATGATGCCAAGTGAGCATCAATGTTAGAACAGGAAGAAAAAAATAAAAAAGGATGGCGACGCAGGGATAATCGAAAACTGAGACCGGGAGGAAGCGGTGGATGGGGTCCATGGCTGGCGCTCCAGGATGCGCCCGACCATTGCTGTGCACAAGCTGTTGCGGCGAGAGTCCCACACTCCCCTTCAGACGCCTAGGAGACAGGGGCTTCGCTGCCTTTGGCAAGTTCATTTGCGTAGTCGACGCAACGTACTGAAACTGTAAGGCCTGCTCCAAACAGCTTCTTTTCTTGCAACTGTATATGTGCTTAAGCGTGTGTGTAATATTTTCCCTTTTACTGTGTACATACTCCTTTGCTTTCCGTTGTAGCTTCGTCTTACTTTTGTAAATAAAATCAACTGTAAACTATTGGTTTTTGGCATCGCCTCTATTGCATTTGCAACGCCTCCGGTAGAACCGTGACATCCACATTGACATTGGATTTCAAGAACGCAAATGCTTTAAATATAACGTCATCATTCACATATTTTAGCCTTTAACTATGAAGGTTCTTGTGGCATCGCGTTTGATAAACCTAGGCGTGTCATTATTCACACGCCCAACGCTTTTCGTTCCCTCTTTCACACAGGGCACAAATACAATGACTCAATAAACCAAAGTGTAACCTGTTTGTCCGGAACTGGCCATGCATATCTTTCTTGCCTTACGCATTAAACTTGTTTATTGAAAGGGTATCTTTTTTTTTCTCTCTTTAGCTAGCGCCTTTAGTAATATGTGCATGCAGTTATAACGAATGCTTTTCCCCACATAAGTTGGAACGTCTGATTGTAATCGCGTATCAAGACGAAATATGAGTAGTATGGTATTAGTCGCCTTCAGGCATACTGTTATTCCAAGTGTAAAGTAATCAGAATAATTATTGCTTTAATTTGTTCTGCAGAGTTATTTTGCTAAATATTTGATGCAACCATATACTTCAGTTATTAACCTGCTGGGCATAATAAAGAAACTCACTGAAAATACATTTTAGGTAGAGTGATTTTTTTTTTCTGTGTTTCCAAAAGGCACCCAAAGCGCCACGTCCAGACGGATTTGCCTTTCTTTCTTTTTTTTTTTCAGCTATTCGTGATCATGCAACAAATGCAATAGCTTTTGTGTAAAAAGACGCGTGAAACACGACGTTTTTTCTTTTTTTTTCATGTCTATTTATTCGTTTTCGATGACGTTGAGGACGTTTCTAAATTAAAAAAAAAATATGTATATATTTTTTAAATAATTTTGTTTGACATACTATTTACAATTTCAAGTATTTTATACTCTACGTACATCAGTACATTGGCCCATTGGCCATGACCGCTAGGCGGCAATAGTTTGTCTTTTTGATCAGTAAAGTTCGCATTATAATTTTGGTGAATGTTCGCGCGAACACTCGGTATACTTGACGAGTGTTTCCCTAAACATTGAGGAAATGCTTGATATACTTGACGAAGGTTTCCCCAAAAATGGAGTAAGCACAATAAAATAATTTTGATTTACAGTACAATTTCTTAGTAAACGCCGCAAAAGTATATTTTTGTTATAGCCACTATAAAGTAAGTGATTTTAGGTACTCCTAGCAAAAGTTATCATTTCTATTATTATAAAATGTTAATCTATGTAACTATACCAGCACCATTTTCTTCCTGATTCCTAGAGGGCTCCACCTTGTAGATCCTGTGTGCAAGATGTCCCTCCTCAGATCGAGCCATCAAAGGCAAAGGAGCGATGCGTAATTTGTCATTAAGGACTCCCATCTGAAAAGGAATAAAAAATTCCCATAAAATCACCAGGCAGGACACGTGGTTTGGGTGGTTTTTTGTTCATAACTTGTTCGTCGTATGATTTTTATACTCATAATTCCAATAATTCATTCTGTACAGCAACCGAGTGGGCAATATACAAAATTGTGGGCAAGTACGAAATGGAACGATCAATACATCAACATAATCACAATGTAAGACGCACGGTGATACAGCCTTATAATTAGAGAAAAGAAGAGTTATGGCTGCTGCAATTTAGCATTCTATTCTACTTATATAAAATGTTGCCAGGAAGAGCCTTTTACTGATTTCTGGGAACTTGCAGAGATTTGAGAGGATATAATGGACGGCTAAAACTGGACGGGATTTGATGAATGGCCGCAAGATAATAAAGTTAGCGTGACCAGGTGACAGCGAAGATTTTTTTTAGTTATTCTAATACATAATTGCATGATGTCCTTATAATTTCCAAATAAATATTTAGCTGAATTGGGATTTTGTCGAGTGTACGCTACAGTCAAGTTTAGACAAACTTTGCTGAAGTATTCACGTCTTATGGAAGAGGGGTGCCAGACATCTTAATGCACACGAGACCAGTAAATTTACTTACCTTATCACACGAAAAGAACTGTTCCAAAATCGAGACCCACCTTTACATAGTCTTGAGAACGAAGTCGACTAAAGGAAATTCCGTCTATAATTGCATTTAAATAAATAGTCTTATTTAATGCTACAATTTATTTATTAAGAAACATATTTTACTTTCTTATCTCGTAAATGGTTTTTGGTTGCATGGACGCTATGACGTTTTGAAATCAGAAGGTGAGAATGTGTCATTTTTTTTTTAAACTAACTGTATCATATCTGACCAAACTATTTAATTGTTCTTCCCTATTAAAATCCTTAAAGGGGTATTACAAACTGCCTAGGTGTAAAACGAGTGAACAGCCTTCCACGAAAGGTAACGGAATTCTAAAAAAATGATTGTTTGTTGTGTAGGACTAATTTGGTATTATCAGATTGTAACCAACCATTTCACATTCTTGTATATAAACGCTTCTGGTTCAGAGTTCACACAAAGTCGTAGGTCGTGCGTTTAATCAGGGGTTGGTATAATAAATAAGATGTTGATTCAATTGAAATCAACTTCCATTAAAGTGTATCAGTAATGATTCACGCATTTGCATTTACGGACACTCTTCTAGGCTGGCTCTATTCATGAAAAATACATGATGGCCAAAAACGTACACGAATTAGGATGTAGAGATGTGTTCGTGAATAAAGGCACGCCGTGAAGTGTACGTACTGAAAATTCAGATATTAGTAGGCATACAGGAAAAAACAGTGTGACTAAATCTTATTATAATGCGAAATCCGCACAAGCAAAGAATGAACAAGAAAAATATTGATTTTCATACTCTATGCGTATAGTTTAGCGACATAACGTTGTCCAGTCGGTTCTACACATCGGCCGATGAGAAACGATAACTCACTTTTTAAATTGAATAGAACGGGCAGTAGAGATCAGAAGAGCTAGTTGTATCCCGAAGTGATCTTTTTATATTTTTTCCCTTGAAAATATTTCACGTGTTCTACTCATAATTGTTTTTGTATTTTCATTACCACGCTATGTAACGCCTGTCAGATAACAATGTTTATCGGTGTATACTAGTGCGGCACATTTGTTTTCTGCTCCACTTTCCTAATCAAACTTCTTGCGTATCTCCTCATCAGTGGTGCACTTGTACCTTGCCTTCGGTAAAAAGGAATACGCTAAACATAATTCAATTCGAATTTTTATAAAAGAAAAGTACACTTAAGGCATATTTTTACCATACATTCAAGAAGTCATGCTAAGTTTTATGTGCCTTTAGTATACTCAGTACCTCAGCAGTATGGTCACAGTGTCTACCCGGTCTTAAAACACACTGAAAGTATAAGTCCTGAGGCAAACTTTTTGGTATGGTAAAATATGCGTTTTGTTTTATAAAGTTTGAAAACAAGTATACGTATTGTGGATTTATTTTTCCCATTGGTGTTTAAAGGAAGTTGATATAAATATTGTACTTGGCACCGAACGTAATTTCTTCTTCTTCTCTTATAAACAGGCTACTTTGTGCGAGGCGCTATTAATTTTGGTTTCCGCTTTGCCCGCAGCCTCGCGCTAACATTAATTCACGTGGCTATGTCAGCGTGTTCCGCAGTATTGTCACTCTTAATTTCACCCCAAATCCCCGGAGTGACTTCACGTTTATGTTACACTTCAAATTAATTATTTCTTGAAAAAGCAGTTTGGCGAGTAACAAAATTAGAAATAATATTATGATTCTTATTGACTTAGCAACGTGGCTGTGTTAACTGTTATCGTTTATTCTGACATCGCCGAAATGAACGAGCAAACGAAATGTCTAAAAAATTAATGTTTTTTTTACTCCATCCTTCCCAAAAGAATAAATTATAGTATTGTCACGATTATATACCATGCACGTGAGTACAAAAACCGTTATTTACTGTATGGCGCGCGCAACACTCGGTGGTAACTCTATGCACCTAATAATGTAAGTGGGGCAGAGTTATCTATTAGGACCCTTTATTAAATGGTCGTATAAAATATAATGTCGGAACTATAGGGTATATTTAACCACTTAATACTGTACGGGAATGTAAGAAAATAGCGGAAATTACACATGTGAAATATTTCATGATACACCGACCGAAATGAGTTGCTACCTTTCTCAGGTAGCACGCCTGAGAAGCCCCTAACTTGGCACAGGCTTGGCAACCTTAGGTGCTTAACTTAATTCAGCCGAATGGGGATTTTGCCCCAAGGCATTATTTACTGCCAGAGTTATTTGCTTCAGCGTTCCTATATCGTGTCCTATGTTGTGACCTATGTCATATGTTGTGTCCATGTTGTGTTCTGTCCCTTTTGCGCTGTTTCTCAAGATGTCGTGCAACCAACCAGCCCAGCAAGGTATCCTGTCAAAGTACTATTATATGGAAAGCAAGATTATCGCTTTCCAGATAATCCAGTCAATTATCCACTCCAAAGGCGACAGATGACAGTCAAATATAAAGGCTAATTCTGGCACTTGTTTGGCAAATTAGTGCCAACATATCAATACTCTATCCAGAGAAGGCCAAGTATGAGCTGCCTTGGTTTCTTCGGTGTTTTTAGGGGCATAAACTCCCGGACACATCTGCATTTTGGCCCCAACAACTGTGCTACCTGGCTATTGAAAACCCACTATTCAATATCGTCAGTTAGTCGCATGGCAAACTGACGTAATTGAAAACAAACTTTTTTCTATTGTCTACTCAAAAATGGCTCGTTTTGTAACTTTTTTAACGGACTTGAAAATAATTTTCTGCATCTTCGATTCACCGATGTGACGTAGGTATACATTTGACCTAGTTTTTGTTTTTTCGCTGCGTTACTTTTACGTAATATAATGACAATCAGATATTTACACTATGTAGTGCTTTGCCAACGCATTATAGACAAAATATAAATGAGGTTTCTCTACTATTTCATACTACATATTCCCATTAGAAAAAAGCACAAGATATGCATACCACTTCAATAGAGTCGTCCACTTCTTCTACAGATACAGCGGCCATCTTCTCTCTGTCTTGGTACAAATTTTCTTCAAGCTTAGTTCCGTTCACCTGAATAAAACACAGTGGAAATTAAATTGTGTTTTAAGCAAAACCTTTTAGTGTGTATAGATTATCAATCAATCTGGAATTCAATATTCACGAGGAGTTCTCATTTTGTACCTTTATTTATTGATCTGCATTTGATTCAGATTAGATGATACAGGCGTGTTCAGTCCATATTTTATTTACTCATATTTTTTTTTATGTTACTCCCCCCCCAAAAAAAAACAACAACATGAAAAGTGAAAAAAACAAATGTATTCCTTGAGATAAAAAAAACTCAGGTCTGCCTAAGTGCAGTAATCGCCGTTTTGGCATTTTGTTTAAATATATATGCAAAGTTTGATGTCCCGTAAATTCTGCAAAGGATTTAAAAAAACTCAAATATTTTATAAATATAGTAGTTTATATTGCTATCATCCATACAATGCCTACAATTTTCGAAAATATATATCGTGCGTCCAAATTGCAAAAACCACGTACTTCGACATTTTAGCTATATAATTAAAATTTATTATTTCGTAGTCTTTCTTGGGATATAAAATGGACATTTTTTTATTATATTATTGACAAAAGGGTCTATCTGAGTATAATTTGTCGATTCTGTTCATAAAATACCCAGGCAGCACCGAGTTCTTGGCCAAAACTTGGCTTGCGTCTGGCAGTTTAGGGCATTAAGAAACCCGAAGAAGCCAAAGTAGTGCCAAACCTGACGTCCCTAGGCAACACTCTGGTTATCTTGGCCCTAATTCGCCAAACAAGTGCCAAACTTAGGCTTCGCTGCCGGGTAGTTCGGCTGTCATGTGGCATCTTCGGGCCTAAATCGCCTAACAAATGCCAGATTTAGGCTTACTGCCCGGTAGTTCGGCAGATCTTTGGCATTTCTGGGCCAAAATCGCCAAACTAATGCCAAAGTTAGGCTTCACTTTTTGATAGTTCGGCTGTCACCTGGCACATTCGGGCCAAAATCGCCACAGATGTGCCAGAGTTAGGCTTACTACCTTGTACAGGGTGCGGCCGTAAAAACTTTCACATTTGGCACGCCTAGCAAAAAAACGAATTTCAAACGCACATACCAGAAATTGGGCACACGAACGTCGTATATTCCAAAGTTTTTTGCCTATTTTTTTCAGACATCAACTCTGTAGTAGCGAATTGTTAAAAAGATAACAAAAATGGCAGACGTGCATTTCCTATGGGCTATACCCGCCCGTTCGCCGTCTGCTATCTAATTCGCGACGCCGCTCCCCGATGGCGCACTGAACGCAAAAACGCGGGAAACGCCGCACGAAAGGCTGGTGTCGGGCGAGATAATCGCGATAAAAAGTGGTTTTACCGAAATATGTGAACGATTATGCCCTTTTACTTGAAATTTAGAAACTGGCGGACGCCCTCATTTAATAAAATTATGTTCTAAAGCAGACGAACGTGTGTCTTCCTTTGTCGTCTGCTTATCTGTTGACGGGTCCGACTCCGTTCCCGGTGAAAGCTCAACTTTGGAATGAAGAGTGCCGCTGCTGAGGCATCTCGATTGTTCCTATTTATTGTTTTTGTTGCACTATCTTCTGTAGTTATTATCAAAATATTTTCCGGGCCGCCCTGCGATGCCGCAATACTCGGCAAGTGAGCGTGCCCAGGCAGTCAAGTGGTACGTGGAGCGAAACTCGGTGGCCACAGCACAACGAAAATTTCGCACTGCATTTCATAAACGCCCGCCTTCACGCCCGACTGTTTTGAGTTGGGCGGATCATTTTGTGAGTGGAGAAGACTTTAAAAAGAAGAATCCAGTCAGTGAACGTGAGAGCCTGCTGAAAAGTGAGGAGCTCATTGAAGCGGTGCTTTCTGTCTTCGAGAGCGACCCATCAACAAGACGAGCAGCTGTAAATGAATGATCTCGTCGCATCATGGTATCTTCTTGCTTGCTTAACGATCTGTCAGAACTTGACTTGAAACAGGTAATTTCATCAATCCTTCATATATTTCGTTCAAACAACTTTTTATCGCGATTATCTCGCCCGACACCAGCCTTTCGTGCGGCGTTTCTCGGGTTTTTGCGTTCAGTGCGCCACCTGGGAGCGGCGTGGCGAACCAGATAGCAGGCGGCGAACGGGCGGGTATAGGCCATAGGAAATGCACGTCTGCCATTTTTGTTATCTTTCTAATAATTCGCTAGTCCAGAGTTAACGTCTGAAAAAAATAGGAAAAAAACTTTAGAATAAACGACGTTCGTGTGCCCATTTTTCAGGTATGTATGTTTGAAATTCGATTTTTGCTAGGCGTGCCAAATGTGAAAGTTTTTACGGCCGCACCCTGTAGTTCGGCAGAGCTTTGGCATTTTTGGGCGAAAATCGCCAAACTAATGCCAAAGTTAGGCTTCTCTTTTTGACAGCTCGGCTGTCACCTGGCACATTCGGGCCAAAATCGCCACAAATGTGCCAGAGTTAGGCTTACTACCTTGTAGTTCTGTTGACATCTGGCATCTTTGGGCCCAAGTCGCCAAACGAGTGCCCAAGTTAGGCTTCGCTTCCCGATAGTTTGGCTGTGATCTGGCAGCGAAGGGGCCAAAGTTGCCAAACAAGTGCCAGAACTAGGCTTACTGCCTTGGAGTTCGGCTGATGAGGTATTTGATGTACGCGCGTGGTATTCATCTTAATTAAATAGGAATCAAGTTTTTTTCGGCTGGCAACTTTATCTTATTTTGGGTGTCTCTTGATTTCAGCAGTCCAAAGGTTGGCTGAATGTTTTGACGCGGCTGGAGCAGGCTTTGCAAACGCAAATTGTGCCAGATGTTGTACTCGCGCGTAGGTACACAAGCCAATATCGGGATGCGCCGTGAGACGGGTTCGACATTAAGGCGCGTTCACACCGGCGATGCGATCTAGTCGCGCCATAACTTTCATCGCAAAAGCGACCATCGCGGGCAAAAAGTAACGGGATTTGAGCAGTCGCTTGCTGACCCGACTTTTTGCGATGCACTCTAGTCGCGGAGAGGCCGAGCCAACCAACGGCGTTCGGAGCGAGAGTTTTGCGAAGCGACTCGCCAACGAAGGCGTTGGACTCGCTCATCGCGCACGTCAGATTGACCAACTAATTACTTTTTTTTTTTTGCGATGCGATTTGGTTGGATCGCGCGACTGCTATCCCCGGTGTGAATCCTGCTTTACAGAAAGTTCTGCTATTGAGCTAACACTGCGCAAGACGGATGTGCCCACGTCTCCACAAGAGATATCATTATTAGGCGGCGCATTGCAAAAGCGAGCGTGGCTCTGTGCGTGTCTTGCATTGTGATTGAGCACTGTCAAATCCTAGCGATAACAAAGAGCGGAAACGACCGGGGCTCCATGGCGCGGTTCCCGCATCACACTTGGGGAATGAAAATGAAATCCCGGAACTTGTACTATTTTAGCCTGTTGATACTTTTTAAACATTAAAAAGTAGAGACACAAAAGTGACGATACAGACAGGAAAATCTTTGAAATTTAAAGGCCGCTGTGCAAACGGGACGTTCTGCAGAGATGAACCTTCTGCCCCGAAGCCGGGGGACGGCGAAGGAAAGGGCCAGCGTTGGATGGAAAGATTGTCTAGAGAATGGGATTAGCCTCGGGGCGAGCCATCCTGTCGAGAGGAAGTGGGGACGGAACAAAGCTGGCCGTGGGGTTTCCGGCTACCAGGTGGAAGGAAGATAAGCTTGTCAAACGGCGACCTCGGATGCGAGGACGGGCACGTCAGAGAATTTGAAAATAGCTGATTGATTAGCTGGACAACCCAGTGCGGTCTACTGGTTCTAGAAGGTGACCCGGATGAAGAAAACCCGTTTTGCTCGAAAACTCTAAAAGCATTCTGGACGTGAACTCTTGCCACAAATAAAAATAACACATGCATGAAAAAAGTGAAAGCCGTTTACAAATCCCTGTAACGCCGAATTGGAGCGCAGCTCTTGAGGAGGAGGAGTGAAGGGTACTGAGGGGAGGGTAGACCCCTCCCCCTTCTCCTCCTCCTCCCCTCATTCTTTAATATGCTCCGGGGGGGGGTGTCACGTGACTTCGGGGAGGGGGTCACGTGACCTCGGGGAGGCGTGACCTGGGGGTGACCTCAAGGCCACGTGACCCCAAAGGTGACCTCCACGTGACCTTGGGGTCACGTGACCTGGAGGGGTCACGTGACCTCGGGGGTCACGTGACCTCAGAGGGGTCACGTGATCTTGAGATGACCTTGGAAGGGTCACGTGACCTTGGGGAGGCGACCACGTGACCTCGGGGGTCACGTGACCTCAGAGGGGTCACGTGACTTGGGGGTCACGTGACCTTCAAAGGGTCACGTGGGGTCATCTTGGGGTCACGTGACCTTGAGATGACCTTGGAAGGGGTCACGTGACCTCGAGGGGTCACGTGACCTTCAGGGGGTCACGTGACCTTGAGATGACCTTGGGAGGGGTCACGTGACCTTGGGGGTCACGTGACCTTGGGATGACCTTGGTTACGCCGACGGCGACGGCGACGCCAACGGCGACGCCGACGCCGACGGCGACGCCGCTCAAGCCGGGAACGGGCCCCTAAGAGCTGCGCTCTAAAACTACGAAGGCAACTAAGTTTCTTCTACGATGGGAGAATGCGTGAGTATTACAGGCAGAGTTACGTTGGCGCAACGGATAGTACGCTAGTTACACGATGAAGATGGCATAGCTTCGAAACCGGGCAGGGAATGTTTTTAGAGCGCAGCTCTTAGGGGCCCGTTTCCGGCTTGAGCGGCGTCGCCGTCGCCGTCGCCGTCGCCGTCGGCGTAACCGCGCGGTGCATCATGGGAAATGTCCCATAATGCACCGCGCGAGCCCCCCACCGGGGTCACGTGACCTCGTGGGGGGCACGTGACCCCCCGAGGTCACGTGACCCCCGAAGTCACGTGACTTACCTGAGGTCACGTGACTCCCCTGAGGTCACGTGACCCCTTCCCCGAGGTCACGTGACCCCCGAGGTCACGTGATCCCCGAGGTCACGTGACCCCCGCCGATG